ATTAGGATACAAGCCACAAGGTTACAGTCATACAGTCACAATTGGGAGGAGATGGGTGAAAAGAAGGGAGGATTATAGTAATAGTGATAGTAATTCAGACTTAGTAAACAGTTTGACAATGTTGAAGGAATTATTTGTTTAGCAGAGTGATGCCATTTGGAAAAAAAACTGTTCTTGTGTCTAGTTGTTCTGGTGTGCAGTGCTCTATAGCGTCATTTTGACATTTCTCCTCAAAACCCTGTTATATAAGAGCAAAGATCCACCTCCATCAATCTTGTTTCTCCTATCTAGGAAGCTCTCGAGTTGTAAAGGATGTTTCCCCCCTTATTTATTTCACAACCTGACCAACAGCGATCGCCCATTTCTATATGCAGTTTCATTTCAGCTATACCCAGAAGACTCTCCGTGGGTCACCTATAGAGCACAACCAGCATCCTGTTTCTTGTAGAGTCATGGGACATCCACAAACTGGACCTGAAGACAACAGCATGGCCATTTCACCCAGCTCATGATTATCCAGATGTGTTGGGTGACACATCAATGAATCAGCAGCGATGAACTGACTCCACACAAAGACTAAAATATACCCTTTTAGCTCTGAGAATTCCTGTTTGCTGGAGGACAAATTCATGAAGAAGGAATGTTCTTGTCTAGCTTATCGGATTGTTGCCAGGATCCATCAGGAAGGGGAAATGATGAAGGCTCTTTGGAGGAAATATAGGAATGACATGCAACCTTATAGAAAAAGCCGTGTATATTGAGATTCTCAGTCATCCAGCTCATGGTTGTATTATAAGCATTATAAGATCCCAGTATCATTTTCATCTTTGGAAAGTACACTGATTTTTGTCCCAAAGATGTTTTTTCAAGAGGCAACTGGACTTTCTGGTTTTTTTCTGTTGAAGATGTTTTGCTTCTCATCCAAGAAGCTTCTTTAGCTCTGACTGGATGGTGGAGAATGAAAGGATTCATATTCCTTGTAGACAGCTGGTCATTTGCATCCTTTTTAGAGAGTCGTTGACTTCACCATCCAGTCAGAGCTGAAGAAGCTTCTTGGAAGAGAAGCAAAACGTCTTCAAAAAAGACCAGAAAGTCCAGTTGTCTCTTAAAAAAAGCACTTTTGGGACAAAAACAGAGTACTTTCCAAAGATCAAAATGACCCTGGGGCTTTATAATACTCAGATCTGGAACCCAGTCCATTAGATCAGATAACGGTTCTCTTTTTCCCACTCTCTGATGGAGATTTCGCATATTTGATGGCAGCAGGGCAGATAGAAATTTTGAGAGACAGAATGTTACTCCCATATCGATGTGTAGAGTAAAACCTGGGACCAGTTTCTATCTGCCCTAGCAGCAATGCAGTGATCCCAGGGATCAACTGGGAAAATAAGAAGGAGAAACTCTCAAGGAAAAAAAAAACCCAACCAGAATAGAACTGGCAAACAATATATTGAAGTTAACGAAGGGATGCAAATTACCATTAAAAAGGTAGAACAAAAATCCTATTCAATCCAGAGTCTAAAAATGCAAAAACAATGTTATTGGTCCTAAAAGCATGTAATTGGACATGGCTTTAAAAAAATTAAAGTAAAAACTTGGGAGAAAGTTGCAAACTAGTCGAAATCCCATCCTCCTCCAGAATCACCCCCATTAGAAAAACCAGAATTGATTCTGTTCCAGCTGTTAGTTACCTTGATGCAGGTAGTCCTCAACTTACAACAGTTCATTTAGTAACCGTTCAAAGTTACAACTGCACTTAAAAAAGTGACTTAGGACCATTTTTCACACTTACAACCTGTCAACTCATAAAATATTTCTATGGTCTTTTTAGAGTTGCCAACAGAAAGGGCAGTGCGGCAGCTTGCAAAACCAAAACTGCATTCCATAAATGTTTTCAAAGATAGTAACTAGGTGACTGAAGTTTCTGCCATGCAAATATCTAACTGGAGAGCATAATTGATGACTCTTGGCTATGGATGTGTCCCATTGGAGAATATGAATTACGATACACCCAGAGAGTGGGGGGAAAGCAGAGTCAAGGGTGACAGTGAATTATGTGTCATGCCCCTGGTGGAGACTGACTCTGAGGGAGAGGAGGAACAGCCGACAGGGAGTGGAAGTTTGGCTCTGGAGGTTGTGGAGGAGGCTGGGGAAGGGCAGAGGCCGGCTGGGCAGTCAGAGGAAGACCCAGGCCCATCCCCTCTCCATCCTTGGTCACACAGGGAGGAGAGGATAAGGGAGAGATGTGGTCTACTCGGGAGGAGAGGGCCTTGATCCTCTTCCTGGGCTGCAGCTGTGACAACTGAATAAGAGGACGGACATGCGTACGGGCAAGTGCTGGAAACAAAGCATGGAAATATCTCTAGTTTATGGTTTCTTTCTGAGTTTGGCTTCCTTCCCCGTGTGCGTTCTGTTATCTGCGGACATCCTCCAGCCCTTATCTTGCCTGGTTTGTGTTGCTTTTCCCCTCCTTCTTGTAACTGTTTGTGTGGGAGTTTATTGTCTTCCATCAAGGATATTTGGAGCTTGGAAGCAAAGTGAAGGAATGAAAGGGGCTTCACTGGGTTTTTGTGACTGTGTTTGTTTTGTATCCTACCCTGGTTCATCACATTATGTGTCTCAGAGTCGGCTACACCCAGGCAGTGCTGGACATGTTAACTCCCAATAAATCCTTTTGAAGTTTTGGAAGTTTGGCTCGAGACTCATGATTTGAATGGGGGCAACTGCCAGGTTCCTGACATCCCCATGACCACGTGATCAAAATCCAGACCTTTGGCAACTGGTTCAGACTTACGACCATTACTGTGTCCCTGGGGGTCCCCTTTTGTGACCTAGGATGAGCAAAGTCAAGAGGGAAGCCAAATTCACTTAACAACCATGTTACTAACTGATCAACTGCAGGGTTTCGCTTAGCAACGGTGGCAAGAAAGGTCGTAAAATGGAACACGACTCACTTAACAAACAAATTCACTTAACGGTGGCAAGAAAGGTCGTAAAATGGGACACAACTCACTTAACAAATAGATGTTTCACTTAACAACAGAAATTTTGGGCTCAGTTATGGTCATAAGTCAAGGACTATCTGTACTTTCATAAAATGAAATCTGTGCTTTTCATAAAATCTGTGCTTTTCATAAAATGTTCCTGCAGCCAAAAGCATGGCCATTTCATGTGTCTATTTATTGATTGTACAGCACTGGTAGATCTGACCTTATATCTATCACTCACTGATCAAACTACCGATAATTCTTGACTTACAACCATTCATTTAGTCCTCATTCGAAGTTACCGTGGCAGTGAAAAAAGTCACCTACAACCAGCCCTTGAATTTACAACCATCACACTATTCCAACGGTGGTTGTAACTTGGGGAGCAACCTGTCAAGCATCACCTGCTGTCCTCGCTTGGGGCTGGATGTGCCAGGTGAATCTGGGTATCATGGTTTGCAAGCTTGTGGTTTGTGATCTGGGCCCAACGTGTGAACCTCACCCGCTGTGGTTGAATCATTAAGCTGTGGTTAAGCACATCATTGCTTATGAATCCAGCTGGTATTATCCTAGTCTATCTGGCTTTTTAAAGGGACTCCTGTCCTAAACACTTAGGACGGACTTCCAGGAAGATGGAGATTTTTAAAAATTCCCCCTTGTATCTTACACCCCCTTTTCCCTGCTCCTTTGCCTTCCTTTGATTTCCTATTTTCTTTTCTTCTGTTTGTATTTTATATAACGAAACAAATAAAAAAATCAACACGTTAAAAATTTTAACGAGGTGCTAATGCCACTCTATAAAACCTTAGTAAGACCAGAGTCCTGCATCCAGTTTTGGTCACCACACTATAAAAACATGTCGAAAGTCTAGAAAAGAGTGCAGAGAAGAGCAACCAGGATTATTAGGGGACTGGAGACTAAAACATATGAAGAACAGTTACAGGAACTGGGCATGGCTAGTCTAGGGAAGAGAAGGACCAGGGAGAGGATAGCAGTGCTTCAATATTTGGGGGGCTGCCACAGAGAGGAGGAGGGGGTCAAGCTATTTTCCAAAGCACCTGAACGCCAGACAAGGAATAATGGATGGAAACTGAACAAGGAGAGATTCAACCTGGAAATGAGAATTTTTCTGACAGTGAGAACAATCAACCAATTGAATAGCTTGCCTTCAGAAATTGCTGGAGCTTCATCACTGGAAGCTTTCAAGAAGAGACCGGACTGCCATTTGTCAGAAATGGTGTAGGCTCTCCTGCTTGGGGGGGTTGGACTAGATGAACTACAAGGTCCCTTCTAACTCTGTTAATCTGTTAAGATAGATAGAATTCTTTATTGGCCAAGTGTGATTGGACACACAAGGAATTTGTCTTGGTGTAAATACTCTCCGCATACATAAAAGAAAAGATACATTCATCAAGAGTCAAGAATCATAAGGTATGACACTTAGAAGATGGTTTTGTGAGTATGAAATACGTAGTGAATTGCAGATAATAATAATAAAGAATAAAGAAACCTTTAGAGAGCATTTCACTGAGGCAGCCATGGTCGGCACCATCTTGGACCCAAGAGCTTTGGTTTACCAATTCCATAACGAATTCCCTGACAAACCAAAGGGTCCCCTTGGAGGGGGGAGAGGAGGTTAAGGGCATCGCATTAACCCCTGGTTGTGTTTTGTTCATTATCTCTTTTAGGAGGTGAACTTCTCAAGGGGGGATGCCTGTCAGCTTTGGAAGCCACACAGCCCTAGAAAGTGGGAGGGGCGATCCCAACCAAGCAGTTCCAAGCAGACAAAATAAAATTCTTTTCTTACTTCAAAGCCATCAAGTTAAACTTGGGAAAATAAGGAAGACCCTTAAAAAGCCATCCAAGTTAGCCAGTTGAAGTTGGATATACCATGCTCTGGCATGGCTTGGCTGTTCCCAACCTTCAATTAACAACCCCACGTGCAGCTTCCCACGATCCGGAGGATCTTCCCACGGTCTTTCCCCCCCTCGCGTTCCTGGACCCCCAGCTTACCACTTCCGAGGGGGGAGAAGCACTGCCAGCCGCCCAGGAGCTCCCGACACTCCTTCCAAAGAGAGAGCGAGTAGCGTTCCGACGTGACCCAGGCCGGGCTCAGCAGCGCAGCCACATCCAGAGCCAGCGCCAGGAAGGCGCAGAGCAGCGCGATCAGCTTGAAGGGGCGCACCGTCAACCCCCGCTCTTCGGCCGCCGACATCCTTGCCCCGGAGCCCTCCACCCTCCTCCGACAGTCGCGGGATAGGAAAGAGGGAGAAGACCCGACGGGGGTAGGTGGGAAACGCGAGAAGGAAGCCGAGGAGCGCCTCGCCTTTTGCGCACTTCCAGCGGCGGAGTTGGCCAAAGGGACGCGCGGCAGCCGGCGAGGCGAGGGTCCCGCCCGCCCCGAGGTCCGCCCCCTCCGGCCCCCTTGGAGGACGGCCGTCGGATCCTATATAACCCACCCACCCCTTCTGAGCTGGACTGGGGAGCCCCGCCGCCCGGTGGGATTGGCTTTAAGAATCGGGGAGGGGGCGAAAATCTGAACCAGCTTCGGACGTCAGCACGGAGGATAATCTGTGCGCTCCCCCTGCCTGGGCTTCTGAGCTCAATGCGTTTTAGCCATGGGGTTAAGGGTCGCTCTCGACGGGATCCTGAAGGTGTCTCTACCTGCATTTATTTTTAGGATGTCTGTGGTTGTTTATTCGGGCCAGCCGAGTAGGGGAAACCTGCCCTAGGAACAGGGGTGCTGGCTTGCCAGTCGTGAAAGTTGGAGTGGCTGGACCTAGGAGATGGAGAGTGGAAGGTTCCGTGTGGGCAACTCGCCACGGCCAACTTGCCATGGCCAACATGCTGCAGGAGAACTTGCCACAGCTGACTTGTTGCAGGACAACTGGCTGCAGGACAAGAGTTACACTAATATCAAAGAAATAGTGGGATAGGATAGTTAAAGAAAGGATACCCAAGAAGGGTCAGAATGAGACGGGAATGGCAAAAATAATTAAATAGAATTGTTAAATTGTCCAACAACAAGTTGTCTTCCAACGAGTTGTCCCGTGGCAAGTTGGCCATGTTGAGTTGGCCATGTTGAGTTGGCTATGATGAGTTGGCCGTAGCAAGTTATTCTTTGGTAAGGTGTCCCATTCCCCCAGTTGATCTTGGAACTCTTGGTGATTTTGGATCAGCTCCGTTTCCTCCCTCCTTTCCTCGCCCTCCCTTTCTATGCCCAACCAACCTCACAGGGCTGTTGTTGAACAATGGGACTCAGGTGCCCTTTCTGGAGTTTCCCAGGGAAAAGTGGAATATCAGTGCTTTAAAGGAATGAATGGAAGTAAAGAGGTGGAGTGTAAGTGATTTAAATTAAAAAATGGATAAATGTAAAGAGGTGGAATAGAAATGTGTGAAATCGAGGAATAAATTAATGTAAAGACGTGGAATGTAAATGCTTTAAACAAATGAATAAAAACATGGAATACAAATACTTTAAACAAATGAATAAAGAGGTGGAATATAAATGCTTTCAAGAAATAAATGAATTAACATAAGGGTAGATTATAAATGCTTTAAATAAACAAGTCAGCCTTAGTGAATGCTTTAAATAAACAAGTCAGCCTATTTTGACATTAATGTCTTGTGGGAATGGAGGCGACTAAAAATGATAAAAATACTAGAGGTTAAAGGACAACAAAATGCAGCGCACAGCCTGTAGTGCTGCAATTAGAATTGAATTGTGTACAAAATAAACACAGGGCAACTCAAAACTACCATCTGGTTGGTTACTGTGGGAACTTTTGGTCTGTGGTTTAATCCAGCTCCCCTGTTGTTACATTCTTCTGCTGTCTAGTGCTGATAAAGAGTTTACCCACGTAAGACATGACCTGAATGAGAAAGAGCAGGGCGGAATAAGATGGAATAATACTTCTGAAAGCGAGGAGGCCCTTCGAACAGGACTTCAGCCCAGATATCGCACAATGAGCTGGATCAACCTTTCCAAATGCAGAAGAACATTTATCCTTTCTTGGAAAACCCATCCCATCCAAGCTAAAAAACAATGGGTAGCATTTAGGTAACTGATTGCAAAGTGGTTTAAAAAAAGGGACATAATATGGTTTCAAACTCCATCCATTGCAACAAAGAGAGATTCACACAATAAAATGAAAACGTGTGAATCTTTCTTTAATAAACACAGCTCGCATTCATATCGTCACGACTCTTGATAGCTTAGTTTTTTAGTTTACTTGATTGTCATTGCACCTCGTACAACGAAATTAAATGCCATCTTCAGTGTACATTATTATAACTATAAAAAAACAAAAAAAAACCCACATCTTTCACATTCTATATAATTGAATTGAAAACCCCTGATACTGCATTAATATTGCACTACGCAGTAGAATTCAATAGAGTTACTGCCCTGGGATAGAAACTGTTTTTCAGCCTGTTTGTCCTTGTTTTTATTGTCCTGTATCATCTGTCACATGATAATAGTCCCGTCCCCCCCAAAAAAAGGGTGCCCAGGATGAGATGGAACTATAGAATAGAATAGAATAGAATAGAATAGAATAGAATAGAATAGAATAGAATAGAATAGAATTCTTTATTGGCCAAGTGTGATTGGACACACAAGGAATTTGTCTTGGTGCAAATGTTCTCAGTGTACATAAAAAGAAAAGATACATTCGTCAAGAGTCAAGAATCATCAGGTACAACACTTAATGATAGTCATAGGGTACAATAAACAATCAAATCATACTAGGAAACAGTAAATATAAATCGTAAGGATTAAAGTGACAAAGTTACAGCCATATAGTCACAAGTGGGAGGGGATGGGGGATAAGGAATGATGAGAAGATGAATAGTAATAGCAGTGCAGACTTTGTAAATAGTTTAACAATGTTGAGGGAATTATTTGTTTAGCAGAGTGATGGTGTTGGGGAAAACCTATCCTTATGTCTAGTTGTTCTGGTGTGCAGTGCTCTATAGCATCGTTTTGAGGGTAGGAGTTGAAACAGTTTATGTCCAGGATGTGAGAGGTGTCTAAATATTTTCACAGCCCTCTTAAATAAAAAAACATTTAAGGATGTTTTGCACTTTCTTAAGGCAGCAGGAGCTATAAAGCTCTTCCAAAGAGTGGAGAGGGCAACCCATGATCCTCTGGGCAATGACGTTAACTCTCTGGCGCGCTGTTCTATCTGCCACGGTGCAGTGGCAGATAGCTCATTTGGTGCAGGGATGACAACCTGATTCAAACTTTCAAAGTTTTTTTTAAAAAAGGACCAAGTTAAGACGTGATTAATAAAGGATCCAGCTCATTCTTTATGACTCTAGCGCACTGCACCTCCTCGAATGTTCAGAAATGACAGGTGTAAAGCTCAGCTTTGCGTCACGAGGGAGGAATGCACCCTTTTGTCCAGTGTGGTGCTTTATGTTCATGAATCACATTTCCCTCCACTCCACCTCCCTGGTGGAGTTTTTATAAATAGGCCGGCCAGCTGCCAGGGAGCCATGAACTCAGATAATGCCACTGTCAACATTATCCAGGAAGGACCAAGGAAACAGAATGGAATTCAAAAGCCTCTCGGAGAACCCTGCTCAGCCAATGCCGATGGCCTGTGTGGGAACAGAGTTCCTCTCCCTGATCGTGCTAACAGAACAACTTGTTGGCCAAAAATGGTGCCTGCGGGACCGATGGTTCCAGCAAAGGCAGGAATAGCAAATTCAATTGTTCGCATTTTTGTTGACGCATACAAGAAATGGGCACCACCAGCAGGTTAAAAAGAGAAGAGAGGTTTCGCTCCAAGGGGAAATCTGGGGAAATCAACTCGGCAAAAAATGGGACGTGTTCGATTCATGGATGTGTTTTTCCTGTTCTGCTGCATTTCACAGGATAGCTTGTGGTTTATCACAGCAGTAGCAGTAGCCGTAGCACTTAAGGCTTGTATACCGCTTCACATTGCTTTACAGCCCTCTCTAAACAGTTTACAGAGTCAGCCTATTGCCCCCAACAATCTGGGTCCTCATTTTACCCACCTTGGAAGGATGGAAGGCTGAGTCAACCCCTGAGACAGTCAAGATTGAACTCCTGACAGTGGGCAAAATTAGCCTGCAACACTGCATTCTAAGCCCTGGGAAGGAAGGAAGAAGAAAGGAAGGAAGGAAGGAAGGAAGGAAGGAAGGAAGGAAGGAAGGAAGGAAGGAAGGAAGGAAGGAAGGAAGGAAGGAAGGAAGGAAGGAAGGAAGGAAGGAAGGAAGGGCAATAGCAATAGCTCTTAGACTTATATACTGCTTCACAGTGCTTTACAGCCCTCTCTAAGTGATTTATAGAGTTAGCATCTTGCCCCCCAAAAGCTGGGTCCTCGTTTTACCGACTTTGAAAGGATGGAAGGCCGAGTCAACCTTGAAACGGTCAAGATCAAACTGCTGACAATGAGCAGAATTAGCCTGAAATACTGCATTCTAACCACTGTGAAGGAAGGAAGGAAGGGAGGGAGGGCAATAGCACTTAAGACTTAAGTTTTATAGTCCTCTCTAAGCAGTTTACAGTCAGCCTATTGCCCCCCAACAATCTGGGTCCAACAATCCAACCCAACAATCTGAATTGCTGGGAATACATTGCAGCTGCTTTTAACAGATTAACAGAGTTGGAAGGGACCTTGTAGGTCATCTACTCCAACCCTTCGCCCAAGTGGGAGACCCTACCCCATTTCTGACAAATGGTAGTCCAATCTTTTCTTGAAAGCCTCCAGGGATGAACCTCCCACAACTTCTGAAGGCAACTTCTGTTCCATTGGTTGATTGTTCTCACTATCAGAAAATTTCTCCTTATTTCCAGGTTGAATCTCTCCTTGATCAGTTTCCATCCATTATTCCTTGTCTGGCCTTTGGGTACTTTGGAAAATAGCTTGACCCCTTCCTCCTCTCTGTGGCAGCCCCTCAAATATTGGAACACTGCTCTCCTGTCTCCCCTGGTCCTTCTCTTCCCTAGACTACCCAGGTCCAGTTCCTGCAACCGTTCTTTGTATATTTTAGCCTCGGGTCCCCTGGTTGCTCTTTTCTTTAATGTTTGATCAAATTTGTGCCATTTTATTAAGCAAGTATTCCCTGAAGCTTTTGCTGAGTTTTGCAGGCAGGTTAACTCCAGAGGTGGGATTCAAATTTCTTAACAACTGGTTCTGTGAGTATGTGGGTGTGGCTAATTTGTGGGCGTGGCTTGTGGTCATGTGACTGGCTGGGCATGGCTTGTATGTAAATATTATAAATATTGATGTAAATATTGATTTTTTTATACAAAAGAGCAACTTTTACCCAAAATCAGGCAGAGCAGGCAGGCAGATTGAGTTGCTCACAGAATCACAAATTCACTCAAGAGATCCATCTTTCTGCAATCGGCTATCCGAGTCTGTCA